AGCGCTGATTGACAGGAGGGCTCACACAAAGGGGTAGCTTCGGCTGGGGGCAGCCCTCCTTTCAGGGCGGAGGGTTGGATGCCGGCACACACAGATGCAGCCAGCAGCGAGCAGACAGTCGTTAGGCCGATCAACGGAGCGTGGCCAGGACATGTGGGCTGAGGACTTGAGCTCTCGCTCAAGCCCTATCGATTTTCCGTATTATAATCGGACCCAGCGCGGTCCGGGCTCTCCGATTTTCGTATTTTCGGGTTCAATGTGCAAATGCAGATGCGACTCGACGGGTTGGTTCGGTCAATCCCATTCCCATTCCCATGTGCAGGCATTGCTTTTCGGCTGTTGCTGCCGCCATCCAGACAAATTTAGCAACGCTTGATTAATTTTTACGACGCGCCCTGTAAGTGAAAGAAGCAACAGAGCTGGGGAAGCCCCTGGTCTCATCCGCCCCCGCCAGGTGAGCCCGCAGATGAGGTACAAGGAGCTCTGCTCATCAGTTGTTCGCTCGTTATGACAGACCCGGCGCATTTAACAAATGATTGCCATAACTCAAATTATAGTTAATCACACAGTTGGACTCTGTTTACCTTGCCTGAATGTTGTGGGGGTCTGCTGCACGTGGCTCAATGTTTTTGTGGGGACTTCGTTTTGAAATCAGACATGTACGAGTAGTACTTCCAGCAAAGCAATTGTGTCACAGCCGCTCCATTTGGCCAGGCCGGGGCAGCGGTTCTTTAACGGCACCCGGAACAGGCGGCGAGTTGAAAAACAATCGTTTGGGGTTCAGAGCTTGCGGGTTTTGTGGTCATAAAGCCGACCGACAGAGCTTTCGGGCTGCTGTTTGCCCCCGCCGTTGCAGGAAGCCTTTATTAGCCCTGGGCCTAAACATATCTTAAACAAGGTAATGGACATTAACCGAATGGGTCGCCAAGCCGGATAAGTGACTGCTACTTGAGGGCTCGTGGTTAGATTCGCATGGAGCGTAACTCGGTGAAGGCATGCGACACACAGCACACAAAGGGAAATAAATAAATAATTTATGTATTTATCAAGTTGGAAGAATGCATATAGTGATTGCTACCAAAAAGTGACTATGCATGTTATTGAAACCAGTTTCTGAAAGGGGGTTAATTTCTTCTTGTATTTACTTTCTGGAAAGAGCCCAGGGAGTTTTCCCTTCTACTGATAGACCATCGCCATCGCTTTTCAGCTCAATTACATTCTGTGGAACCAGAGTTCCCGCTTAACCCTTTCATCTCCCAGCTGCCGCTCACTCCCAAACGGGACGAACAACAACATTTACCACTTAACCCTCTGAAAAGAACCCATTTGATGCTCTAATTACGCCAACATGTTGTCCATTTGATAAAAACCCTTGATGCTAGAGGGTGACCTGAATGACAAGTTTGGCTAGCAGCATTTCTGACACCTGGCGTGTGGCCCTCAACGATTTCCCCAGGGAGCGAGAACGGGCTTGGCCAGCTCTGCAAAGCCCTTAAATTGGCCGACTAAGCGAGAACAAGCTTGGCATTTGCTATCTGAATGTGTTGACTGTGAAGAATTGAGTTGCATGTATGACACAACTTTGTCAGCGAGCCCTGATTAATGAGCCAAGTCGAGGCAAGCCGGGCTCCGTTGCACATGAGTCCGATCTGGGTGATATTTACCCCCGCGATTCATGCATTTGGCAACTTAGAACTTAATTACCAAACCAAATTATTTGTGTCGCATCTTCGCCTGGGCAGAGACTTCCCGCATTTTGATGGATTCGTGGGCTGGGCTGTGCTGGGTTTGGCCAGATAATGGAACGAGAACTGGGGCTAGCCCTGGTTTCGGGATCGGGGCTAATGACGCTCCATTGCTTTGTGATGCGTAAAATATTTGAATGACGACGACGATGGCTAATTTCGACCCAAGCAAATGTCGGCGACTTGCTCGAATGCCTCCGGCGAATGAGTATTCACTCAAAATGCAGCTAGCGATCAAAATGATGATCAGACAAAGGAGGAGAAGCGCGGAGCATGCGGGAAGCCATCGTCAAGTTGATGAGCGGCTATTCATTTCCGCCGCTGTGCATTCGAGGGGCAACTTTGTCTTCAGAACACACACACACACACTCACTCACACACAGTTTATATGCTCTCCCGGCTCGATCGCAATTTCGCGCAGTGAACTGTAACCGAGAGTTAATTAGCTCGACGAAATCGTCGCCATAATAGTCGCATCTAGGGGCACTCCAAAGTTATTTACATACAATACATATGGAAAGCGGAGAAGGTCGAGATAAGGGTCGAAGTCACAAGGAAGTCAGGCAGGAAATCACAATGTTTGTGAGGTCCAACTGGACAGAGAAGGAAAAGGGTTTGCCCTGAGAACCCATCGAAAAATGTTGATGGATCGAAGGGCAAAAGGGAGCCAAGGAAGATACATTTTTCCCATTTCCCTTTGGCCTTACGCTAACCCAGCTTCTCTTCCACAGTTTCCTGGCTCCTGACAGCTGGGAAATATTTGAGATACTTTAACACACACAGAACTGTTTTTTTGTTTGTATCTAATTAGAGGCGGTAACATAGAAGCGACCACAAAGTTGCCTTTAAACCTCGCTATACAATAAAACAGTCAACAACAGCAGCTATAAGGCTGGCGCCTAGTCATTACACCAAAAATTCTCAACAACATGCCAAGCAGCTTGAAAACTCGCACTGGCCACGGATTCGGATACATTTGGCTACTTTGAGGAAAGCAACACTTGAGCGTTTCGTTTTTTTTTCCTTTATTTTTCACAAGTACCCTAGCAGCCAAAGATATTTTACAATTTCACACAAGCATAAGGCAGCACAAGAGGCCAAAATAAAAAACTAAAACACACACACACCACCTAAGAGACAATAAAAACAGAAACAAAAACAAGAAACGAGAAAAAAAGGCCACTGGGGGCAGAAACGAATTACATATTTCTGTTGGGAATGCCGCCAGGGAGGGGCGTTGCACAAATTGAAGAAATTGTGGCACCTGTGCGCCGTCTTTGTGTCCGTATCTGTATCTTTGTATCTGTGTCTTTGTGTCTGTATCTGCACAAGTATCTGAACCTGTAGCTGGAGCCGCCTTCGCTGGCGAGCCAAACAAATAAACTTGTGGCCAAGTTATGACAGTCGACTGCTGCCACTGTCGAGGGCCGCAGGAAACATTATTCTTGGTTAGATGCTAATTAATTAGAAGACGCGGAGGAGGAGTGGGAGGCAGGCCGGGGCCATTTTCGGTGGCACTCATGTGGGAAGCGACACACGCAGGAAAAGCGCCTGAAATGCAAACGAGAATGACATTTGCTGGGGAAACTCCACTCCTCCAGTGCCTGTGACAGGTATAAATTATATTGATTGGGGTTTTCGTCAGCCTCCAAGAAATTAGGTTAAATGGAAAAGAAGACACTAATATTGATTGTGGCACCAAGAAGAAGATATTTTTAAACGCACTCTGAAGCATCACTTAACGATTTGAAATGCAAACAAAAACCACTGCAAGTACGTGCCTCAAATATTTACCATGGGATTTCACAATTGCAAAGTGCATTTCATTAAACTGCATACATCGTTTAAAATATTTATAAGCCTAGTTTGGCAAATAATAAAATTTCATGACACACAAAACGGAATTTAATTGAATGTGACGGATTTGATTTGGCTTTGGCAATAAATCACAGAAAATTAAATTGTTTTATAAAGAAAACATTGTGTGTTTGCTGGCCATTACTCTGGCATTTATTTTTGCTCTAATATAAGAGAATATCTCTTCCAATTACATATATTTTCACTGAACTCCTTCCCCATCATCATCATAATAAAACAAACAATTACAAGCCCCAACTTGTGCCAATAAAAGAAAATATCATAATCGACCACGAAATCTTTTCTCATAGATATTACCATAATGACTGCTCCCCAAATGGCGCCTTCGGGCAGATCGAGCTCGATCCCAAGCCCCTTTTGGGAGACTCAACCGCCTGCTGCCAACTTGTTTACACAAATTTTAATTGGTGTAATTATGATTTTTACACGAAATTAATTATGCATGCGCGATTGCGCGTCTGCATCTTCCATCTCAATATCCAATGCCGTTTCTAAACAAGGGTAAAATCGTGAAACTTATTTACTGGAGGCAAAAGAATGAAGAGGAGGAAAGCGAAAGCGAGGCTGGGGAATTTTAATTGCCAAGCATATTTCCACCAATTACCCCGCTGAGCAGAAGCACTAGCAGCAGAAAAAATTATGAAATACAGGGCCGACCTCGTTGTCTGCTCAGAGAAGTGTGAAGTTTCCAAAGCCGCAAGACGATGGGGCACACAACTGCATCTCGCAGATAAGAATCTGTGCAAGAAAGAGATATTTCTTGGGGAATGAGATCTTTCTTTCTTCTAGCCTCTGATAAAGTCACGGGAAATGGGAAATTTTCAGTCTAGATTTTTACGACCTCAGTGTTTGGTGCTGCCGTTTGTATCCATAAGATACAGCAGGTTATTTTGATTAGCCCAAGATGTTGACAGTTTGACTCTTTGTTAATTTGTGTTTAATTAATGATTTGAGGGGACCGCCACCGCTGGGGAAAATGGGTTAAACGCGTCGGGAATGCGAGCAATGCGGAGAAACAAACATCCGGAAAGAACCAAAACTTGTGATTATGTTGGAGAATTATTTCATCAAAAATCTGTCTTAATTTGAAATCTTTTTTCCTCAAATTCTTTTGCTAATTGACCGAAAAAACTTGTTTCTGTCGAGTTAATTGGTTTGTCTGCGACTGAATATTTATTTATGCAATTTTGTTTTTGGCATAATCCTGTTTATTTACATAATTGCCGTCGGCCAATCTGTGTCACTTTTCAGCGAGCATCAAGTGCAGCCGTAAATCGAACTTCACTGACGTTTTGTTTTTTATTTTTTTGCACAGCCTTTCACAAATCTACGAATGTCCGGGAACCGACCAAACACCTTTTTCCGTGCCCAACTCACCTAGGTTTTTGTAGTTTTAAATTCGATTTTTGGGCTGATTGTAATCCGCAGTGGGGGTCGAAAAAGGTCGTGCGCGTTGGAAAACACTTTCTGTAACTTGTTCACTGGGCCACAAATCTGATCTTTATATTTTTGTATTTGTTTCTTTTGCTAAGGCCACTTTCCGCGCGGCTGTTCCGGCAGCCTCTTTTACGCGGCACACTTCACCACACACATTGCCCCGCTTTGATGGCGCCCAATTGTGATGCACAATTGCCGCATCCTGGCCACCTTTTAAATCTTCGTTCCGATTCCGCACTCCGATCCTTTACGATCCGATTCTGTTTTAGATTCTTATTCCGATACCGATACCGACTTCCGAAATGTTTATGTCTTGAGAGCTGAGTACTGAGAGCTAAGACCTGAAAGATACGCGGCGCGGTTGCAAAGCAAGAGCGTTGTTGTCGAGTGCCGGGATGAGACTGAAACTGAACTCGGTGGTGCGACTGAACGACTGAGCGACTGAACGACTAGATTGCTGCTTCTTGTAACGCGAACGAAGGCTGACGAGCGTTTGAATCGGGCCGACTGCTGCAATGGACTCCAGAGCCACCACCGCCATTGCCTGTCGTTCGGGTGCACTATGGGACGAGCAACCACTTTTTGTGCCAGAGACTCTTATTTATACAATAGGTAAACTATAAATTGTACCTTGCGATTTTAAATATAAACTTTATTAGAACAAAAGACAACAAATATTAAAAAAGAGTATACCAAAGTGGTTGAAAAATAATACTAAAACAAAAAATGTTCAGACAAGTTTTAAATATTTCTAATCAGTTGTCACGGTCGTATACGTGATTTTTTCATATGAATATTTGTATAGAAAAAGAGGCTAGATATTTGCAAAACATTTATTATATTTTAGAAAATATTAGACATATTACAATAATTAAATAAAATCTGATTTGACCATAAATAGTGGTTTTTTGTCCCATAGTGGAGTGTGGGTTGAATGTGGATGCTAAGAGCGAAGGCAAAGAGCGCTCGGGTCAGGGGTTGTTTGGCACAGAGAGCGCTTCGTTGAGTGCTCCGGCAATAAACTCTCTTCTGTGGACTCTGTGTGGTTCGCATCTCAGGTGCATTGGTTGCACTTCTTAAAAAAATAATATATAAAGAATACAAATTCTTGAACTTCACAATTTTGTACAATTATCCAAGTTATGTTTATAAAATAATAATAAAAAATAATATACAAATGAAAAACCTGGCATGAATCAGTCTCTCTATCTGGCACTCCGCGCAGTGCTAGGAGAGTGGCAATCACCTGCCCAGGCAACTCACCTGTCCGCTTCAAACTCCATTCGCAACTCCTCATTAAGAGAGCTCTCTTTCGACATACAAACTCTTTTGGAGTTCGTTATAAGAGTTTTCCTTGCCATGGCGTTTCATTTCACTGCCGGAACAATTGGGTAACGAGCGGAACACAACAAAGAGCAAATTTGAACTGTTGATTTGTTTTTACTTTCGCCGCGGCACTCTCTTTTTTCCCTCTTTTAAGGGGTTGTCACCTTCGCCAGGTTTTTGGTTCCATCACTTTTCACTCACTTAGAAAAATTATAATTAATTATATTAATTATAATCATGAGATAATGTATTAAATAATCATAATTACAGAACCTATTTATGATTAAGCCTTAAATAAAAATGTAATTGAGTATTCTTATTTAGTTATTATTTATTGATTCTTTTATTATTTAATGATTAAAAAATCAAAACTTAAATGATAAGAATAAAATTATCTTACACGAATAATTGGTCTATAGCTTCACAATATTTAATATAAAATAATATAATTTAATTGAAATACTTACCTAAAATAATAATCTAGATAGCATTCAAATAATCCTAATTTCAAATATAAATAAATGGTGTATGATTTTAAATGTATTTATATAAAAAAAACTCAATACTAAATTAATTGCTTATGGTAAATTTTAAGCTTATCCTAAGCATTATTTAAGGGCTTTACTTAAAGGTATTTGTGTGTTCCCTTTCCTATCATGACATATCCCACCGAGCTACAGATAAATGTTTGAGATTCCTTTGCCTCGTCTGATGAATTTCGAATAGTTTCGCTCGCATTAATCAAGATACACAGCCGGCGGTGAGATGCAGATGCAGATACATTTCGCTGTGCGTAACACGCACCGCAACTTGTCATAATGCAACATTATGGCCCAGAGACTTGGCCCGGTCGAGATTTTCCGGCAGAGAGGGGAAGCGTGGTAGGAACACCGATCTTGTCATGATTTATTGACGCCTCGGTTCGATGGTGCGATACAAGGTTCGAGAGTCCAAATCTGCGGTGGATTGGGGAGTTAACATTAATTGAAAGGGACTTGTAGATGGTATCGCAGGTCGGTTAATGATATCGCTGGCTCGCGCCTGATTGATTGGTAGCACGTTTGTACATAGCTGAGAAGGCTGCTAGCCATGGCCCTTTGTTTGGAAGTTGTTACTTTCGAATGCTTGAGATTTGGTGACACAGTTTTCAATGGTTCCACGGAAAACAATTGATTCCGCGCCTAATCCAATCTCAAATCAGAAATGCTTGAATCGAAATGCAGGCCAAAAATTGGGTTTTTATTATAATGCTTTGGTTTTTGGTGCTTTTTATATTACATTTTGTTTGTTCTGCAAAAGTAAAGACTTTTAAAAGTATTCTGGTAGTAGTATTAATAAAAAAAAAGTCTGTATTATAAACAAAGCTCATAGTTGTCTAAGCAGATAGATCTTGCTCTTTATTGCTTCCTTATTCTGATACAGTGACCCAAAATATCAAGAATTACTTTAATTATCACAATAATTTATTAATAATGTATAATTGATACTACTCTTAAGCTCTTATATTAAATTTTAGCTGCCAAGATTCTAACCATTAAATTTTAATTATTTATCGAGATGTAAAGACTTACAAATAAATGACATGTATCCTTTATCTATCATAGTATCCCTTGAAAAACAAAGGAGTTTTTAAGGTTATCAATATGTTGAAAATAAGTTTTTAATCTATTTCTTACTTTTGATTTCAAGGTAAGTGCACATCCATAGCTTGAGAAGATATGTATAAGCCCAATTAAAGGTAAATAATAGCTAAGACGTCGGCTAACTAATATTAAACCTTCTTGATGTTATATTCCCAATTCATTTAAATAACTCAAAGAGATGGCTATCTAACTACCATAGCTATAAGGTCCAACTTCTTATCTCACAAAAAGAAAATACCCTTCAAGAGGGTAACAAACAGTCCAGGCCAGATGCAATCTTACCGTGTCCATTCGGCCGAGGACAAACAACTTGAGCTGACAGCTAAATATGAAGAGCAAACAAACGGCGAGTATCTGAGTATCTGGCTATCTGTGTATCTGACTATCCAAGTATCGGGATGATAAATTCATTGAGTCCTCGTACGCGCAATGTAAATATTCATTCATGATAACGCGCCAGTTGCCGCCGACTGTCCGCCGTTCTGCTCCTCGGCTAAATATTCCACTCTTGTTGCCCGCCGGCAATTTGTATATTTATCTGTCGAGCTGATTGCATTTTTGTGTAAATTCTTGGCCATAGCCACTTGGGCTGCCCATCCCCGTTACCCATCCAGACCCCGTCGCAATTTGTTGACAAGCCGCCTGACAGACAGCGCATGCGCAGCGTTTTGCCTCGCGCTGAGTTATGGATCGAAGTTGGCAATGCTCCGGCTGTCTGCCGTTTGTTTGTCCACTCCGAGTCGGAAATGACAAATGGCCAGTTGACACATTTGGCGTTTCCTGCGGTAAGGAGTGTCCCCCATGACTTTAGAGCATGACATTTGTGAATCTCTATACAAAGTTCGATCGGTTATTATGCAAATGGAGGAAATCAAACTAAGCCTGGCCTAGGCATCACTTGTTCAAGAGAGGCTCAATAAACTTGTGTTACTACATCCAGCATCTTGAGATCTTTAGCGCGTGCCAGCTGCAAAAGTTTCCACTGACTCTTGGCCCACAAGTTTGGGCAGGTCTCCCTCCCTTCCCAGCGCCCGCCTAAAGCGACTCCCGCCCAGCGCAGCTCTGGCATCAAATCAATTGAAGGAGCTCGGCATTCAGATCACGTACACGCATATCAATTGTTACTGCTTCGAGGCTCTGGCAAATGACGGGCCCGGGAATGGGTGAATGAGTGAATGAGCCAATGAATGCGGGGGTGAGTGAGTGACGGGTTGCCTGCCACAGAGCTATAGCTTGTCTGGGCCCGTCTTCATCCTCAATCCGGCTCTATATGCATATTGACGGGCTTGTCGGCTGCTTGTTATCCGTTATCCAAGGCTCCAGCAATGCCGCCAAAATGCGCTCCCAGCCGAGTATCGTATATCTCATATCACATATCGCCCATCAGAGGCATCGAAAGTTTGCTGCACCAGCTTGATTGGCGAAATCCATTTAACCAAATAAGTGGATCAACCTCTCAGATGTGTGGATCTACCACAAATGAACTGACTCATAAACTTTGCCGGCAACCTGCAGCCAAATGGCAAAAAAGGGAGCACAGGAAAAGCAATTTGGGGATTCCACCCATAACTGACAACTACTTAACAGGCATGATTTCAACATTTGCAGCCAGAAACAACATTCCTTTAAGCTGTGCTTCTGATCAGATTTTTAAAAGCAATTTTCCCAACCATCAGTGGTAGGAGAAGGAGCCAGCTTCTGACCCATTCTAACCCATCCATCTCCGAGGCTCTCTCGACCACTTGCTAATCCCTCAAGCGCATCAACAGCAACAGCAACAGCAGCAACAGCAACAGCAGCAACAACAGCAGCAACTTCAACTGCAGAGGCAGCAGGAAAATGCTTCAACAAGTAAGTCAAATTCCCCCTTTTTTGCGTTGGCTAGTTTGTGTTCCGACAGGACTCGGGATACTGTTCTAAGCTCGTTGATGTGTTAATTGACCAAAATTTTGTACACACTGGCTGCAGGCTGCAGGCTGCTGGTAACTGTAATGGAAACTGCAGATGGTCGATATTAAATCCCTGTAAAACTTAATTAGAAATTCCATTTTTGGCTTTTGAGAGCATAACACGTGACGCGTTACCAATTATCGACTAGACCCGGTCCGGTCCGGTCCGCATCGGTTACTCTGTCCGGGGTCCCCCGATTCCATTCGATTGGATTCGGAATCGAAATCGGTGCGATGCGATGCGATGCGGGAACTGTTGCATCTGCCTTGCAGTCTGCAACCGTACTGGGAACTGGCTCCGGTACTCGTATCCATTGCGTTAAGCTGCCGTACATATCGCCAATTAAAAATGCCTTTTGAATGGGCATTCGCAAAAATGATGGTAGCAGCAAAAAATAGAGCAGCTATAACATTTACCTGGCCTTAACAGGATAACTGCGGGAAAACAGTTATTGCACGGCCAATAGTGATGGTCACGTGAGATACTATTGAT